GCATTTCAGGCCACGACAGGGCGGGTGTTTCGGCCCAGCCGGGGCCGGCGTCTCTGGGGGGCAGCGCAGGGGGGATGTGCCAGCCCTGAGGTCACAGGCCATTCACCCGACTTGCCACCTGTGATTGCCACACAGATTAAGCAGTTTTGCCCTAGGCCCAGGGCGCTAAGCTGGTGCTTACTCCCCCTCATCCCTTCCGGCTTTTCAGGAGGTGGGTTCTCGTTGGAAATGTAAGCGACAGTCCCCGAAACCCCACAGCGCTCTCTAAGCTTCCCACGCTGCGTACCCAGCCTTCCCTCCCCACGTCGTCCTGGGGCATCAGCCTATGAGTGTCCTAGGGCGGCTGTGACACAGTCCCACAGACGGGGCTCACACCACACATGGTCACCATCCCCCGTCCTGGAGGCTGGAGCCCGAGGTCCGGGCGGGGGCAGGACCGGGCCCCCCCAGGCCTCTCTCCTGCGTGTGGATGGCCGTGCTCCCCGTGTCCTCACGGGGCCGTCCCTCCTTGCGTGTCTGTGTCCTGATCCCCTCTTCTTACAAGGACCCGGGTCACAGGGGATCAGGGCCTGTATTTTTACTTTGTTACATTGTCTTTTTTCAAACGTAATTTAAAGTGTATCACAGTCAAATGTATCCACTTTGACTTGGATAATGGCTTGTGACTTTAAACTTGATTGGGTCCTTCTCTACCCTGAGATCATAAATACGCCTTTATTTTTCTCCTGAAAGTTTGAAAGTTCTGTTGCTCACCTCTAATTATTTAACCCACTTGGTCACTCATTTTAGTTTGGGCGTGGAGCACTAATCTCAGCTTCTGCACACAGGGCACCGACCACGGCCCTGGCATCACCCCGCGGGTCCATCTGTCCATCTGCCTGCCCCACCCCCGGTCCACGTGCAGACGGATGAAACCACCTCCCATGGGAAACTCTGTACAGATCAGGAAGGGAGTTTCACTGGATTTACACAGCCACTTGCCGAGAGTTGACCTCATTCTGCAAAACCAAGTCTTCCCGTTCCTGCGTGCCCTCCCGTAACGCAGAGTAATTTTCTCAGAACGGCCAGGATTTGGTGTCTGATTCTCTTAGGAATCTACACAGGGTCTCTGGCTGCCATTCATGAGATAATCTTCTATTACTTGGTTTTGCTTTTTTTTTGTCATTAACTTTGTATCCAACAATGTTGCTCAATGTCCCTGAGCTCTCCAACCCAAAAATAGAGCCAAGAGTGAAGATATCTTTAAATCAGGACAGTTTAATCTCTTTCTAACCCTGGTATTTATTATTTCTTTTTTCTTGTTGTATCATTTTGGCCGGAGCCTGCAGGACCCCCCAGACTGGGGGCAGGAGCGGCGGACGCCTCCTTGACTCCTTGACTCTCATGGGGATGATGTGAAGGTCCCAGCACCAAACCCGATGCCCGTTGCCGCTTTTTGACAGATTCCCCCTGACAGGTTAAGAATGTTGTCTTATGGTCTTGGTCTGTGGTTTTTAAACCGGGCAAGACAAGCTGCTTACTTTTGTCGGATGCTGTTTCTGCATGGCCTAAGAAGATCACAAGGTTTTTCTCCTCAAATCTGTGGCTGTGGAAATCACGGCGGCTCCTGGAGGTGGCTGGCTCCCCCTTCCGCTCCCCTAGGGGCATTGCACCTCCCAGCCCCTGCCGCGGCGAAGAGCCACCCGGTGGCCGTCCGTCCGGGGACTGCACACCGTGGCAGGGCCCTCCGCCATCTCGAGCCCCCGGGTCCTGGGTGAGAACATGAGCCCCGAATGACCAAAGTGCTCTGGCTTCGTAAACAGCACCCCCATCTGAGTGCTGGAACCAATTGAAAAATAAGCACAGGGGCTCAGCTCATGCGAGGCCGTGCCTAATTCTGCGAATTGTAAGCTCGAAGGCTCGGCCCGGACTGCTTGTGGGTTAGTTTGTGGCTTCCGCCTTGTAATTAAACAGTCTTCCGGTCGCTGGCGGCGCTGAGCTGGACCAGGCCCCTCCGTGGAGAAGCAGAGCACAGGGTGGAGGTGGGACTCTCCCTGGGGCAGAGTGCGTGGGGGCGGCAGCGGCCGGAGCGAAGGGGACGGGCTGCGCGGAAAGGGGTGTCGCAGCAGAGAAGGCACAGGGCCCTCGCAGCTGCTCATTTCCACCCCGGAGTCGGCCGCACCGACGTGCCCTCGGGTGCCTGGCTCCGCGGCGACGCGGCGCCCTCTCCTTGGGCTGTTCTCCTGCAACCTGGCATCGCCCTGGTATCAGCCACCTGTCCTGGCACCCGGGGTCGTCGGGGGGCGTGGTGCCCTCAAGACCTCCTTGTTCCGGCCAGTGTCCCGGCCTGGCTTGTCTGGCCTTGGTCATGCATGTGGCCTGTGCAGCAAATGGGACACAGGGGACCCCCTGGACCGCCCCGGCTGGGCCAGCGGGGTGAGGTCTGTTGGGGGAAGGGTGGGGCCTGTCCTGGGGAGCCCTCCCCGAGAACGGGGCCAAGTTGTGTCCGGGAATGCGCGATGGAGAACATCTGAGGCCCAGTCCCTGTCGTCGGCTGTGCTCGCAGGCTGGGGGGGCTGCAGGGGGGGTGCAGCTGCAGAGACAAAGTGGGGGGCGGCCCTGCCTGGGGTCAGAGGGCAGGTCATCGAAGGTGGTGCTCAGCCCGGAGGAGGACAGACAAGGTGGGGACGCCCAGATGGGAGGCTGGAATCTGCCTTGTTCTGGCTCCCCCCGCACGGCCATGGGGCGCCCACCCTGGGGTCTCCACAGGAGCTTCTCCCCAAAAAGAACCCGGGCCTGGGCAGGTGAGAAGCACCTATGGGGCAGGCTCCGGCCGGGTGGGCCATCCTCACACCAGAGCACTTCGGTGTAGACTGGGGGCTGGGAAGAGTGTGGAAGGGAAGGGAGAGGTGGGGAGGGGCACAGTCAAGGCACTGGTCCCCTGGGCAGAGGGGCAGGGGTGTAGGCCTCAGAGCAAACCCCTCAGAGCCCTCATCTAAATAGTGGGAGCGGAACAAGGGGCTGGTAAGAAGGGAGGTGAACCCCAAAGGCCTCCAGGTTGGGCGGGGCTGGTGCAGGGGCGTGTGGGCTGTGCCCCATTCCCCAGACAGTTGGGGGGTCTGGGGGGGCCCCTGCTTCCTCGAGTGGGGGTGGGCAGCAGGCTTAGCAGCCATCTGCCATGGTCATCAAATTATTTTTAAGCCAAAAACTTCTTTCCAAACAAATCTTCATGGAAACCACCACGTGTCAGAGAGAAGACCCTTCTTGTCCTGCTTAACTTGGGGGTGTGGGGGTGCCGCCGCGGAAAGCGACAGGGCCCCGTCTCCCCCTCGCACGCCGCTGGCCACCCCGAGTCCCCATCCCGCAGCCGCGGAGCCCAGAGGTGGATGTGGACGCCGGCCCGAAGCTGACACCTCTTCCTGGCTTCCGGGGCCACGAGCGCTGCCCCGTTCTTGCCCCACAGCTGACCCGGCCTGTGCTGGGGCCGCCGGCCGCACGGGCACAGCCCGGGGAGCAGCGTGGGCAGGGGCTCCGCACCGCGTCAACGAAACACCCCGCATGCTAGAAAATTTCTGGAGTCCAAGGCCCCCGTGGCCCTGCGGGGGGCCCTGGAACAGGCGAGAGCCACCGGGTAGGCGCACTGACCACCTTACAGAGGGCTGGTCCTGAAGCGCCCAGGACCCTGCTTGCCCGCGAGGCAGAGACGGGGAGACCCTGTCCTCCTGGCAAACCTTCAGCCCTAGGAGGCCACTGGTGGCTCCAAGGCCAGCCCAGTCCAACTGACCACCTAGGACGTCCACAGGTCTTGGCCAGGGACACTGTGGGCCCCTGAGGTCACCAGAAGGGGCCGTGTAGGGGCTTCTGGGTCCTCCCGGGCCAAGGGGGCGTTGGACAGACCCCTAGGTCCCAGGTCCCAGGTGCTGCTGATGTGCTGACCCACCCTGATGGGCCATCAGAGCCCTCCCCAGTGTCAGGTGGGGGCTTGTGGGGGAGGGCTGAGTCCTCAGCCCAGCTCCTCGGGGGGCAATGAATGCAGAGAAATTGGGGATCTGGGTCCCCCCCGGTGCAAGCCCTCACTGCCCTCGGCACTGCAGAGCCTCATGCACGTATTCACCCTCCCTGAGACTCTCCATTCAGTCAGGTGTGAAATGTGGCAGAGAATCCCAGGGGAGGACGAGATGTGGGCCCCGGGAGACATCGGCACAGGCCCTTAGGTTTCTGGGAGGGATGCTCACAGGTCAAATGGCTCCGCTCGGGGGTCCTCTGCCCTAGGACCCAGGGCTCCCATCCCTCGCCACCTGGTCAGGCTGGGGGTCAGCTGGCTCGGGAGAACAGACCCTCGCTCCTCACCCAACCTTGGAGCTCTGGCTCGGGCCCAGCAGTCTCCACAGCCACCCGGAGGGAGACCGCCAGCCCCCCACTCTCGGTCATTAAAGGACCGGAGGAGACCCTTCCCTAAAATTCCCATTTTGGCGGCTCAGCTCGCAAAACAGCTCCCCAAACACACGCAGACAAGGACACGTGGAGGCGCGCACATGCACGCACACACACGACACCGGCTGCCCGCCTGGGTCCACAGAACCATCCAGAACTTCCTCAAGTGGATCTGAGAGTCTGGCGCATCACAGTGGCTGGGAGAGACCTTGAAGGGCACCTTCTGCCCAAGAGCTGGTGCGTGGCCCCTGGCCCAGGACCGTCAGCTTTGCCGGCGCAGACACCGAGGGTGAAGCACATTCCAAATGCACATGCGCACATACGTGTGCACGTGACACACTCACACCCAAGTCCCGTCCGCAGACACGTGCACACACCCAGTGCACCCACATGCCCTGGGCTGTTGGGCCCCCTGAGAACCCTGTTTCAAGACGTCGGGGGTGGAAGTCGTCCTGGACTATGATGGCCCAGAAAGAGCTTTGGTCATCCTGAGGGCAGGACGGGGAGGGACAGACTTTCTGGACACACGCACGACAGCCATCTGGACACTCACACCGACCAAACACACAAGCGCAGCGTCTGCCCAAGTTTATTGTGGAAAAAGCAAAGAACTAAACAAAGACTCAGAAAATAAATATCTGCAGAGAGGAAGCCAGCTTAGAAGGTGAGGAAGCCCAGGGGGTCAGCAGGGGGCGAGGGGGGTGGGTGGAGGACGGTGGGGGCGAGCCGGGGCGCGCCCCCCCCTCAGGCCCCCCCTGGACGCAGGCCCCTGGGGCTGGAGCGCCGGGCGCGGCCGGGGCGGCGCGAAAGTGGGAGCTCGCAGGCCGTGTCCTGGCACAAGCAGCTCTCGATGTGGGTGTAGGTGTGCCTCCGCGAGCCGCCGTGGGGACAGTGCAGCACCACCTCCCGCTGGCTGGTGCGATCCTCCTTACAGCAGGAGCACTTGTGGTCCAGGGCCTGGGCCTCCGCTGAGTACCTGCGGGCAGCCGGGAGTGAGGAGCCGCCCCCCCAGGGCGAGGAGCCCCCCTGCCCCCCCACCCGGGCCTGGGACTCACAGGGCAAAGGTCCCACAGGACCCAGAGCAGTAGTTCATTGTGACTCTGTTGGTGCAGCCGTCGAAGGAAATCTCCCGGGTGACAGGGATGGTGGCGCAGAAGGTCGTGGTGTCGTTGCGAGGGGTGCCTGTCGAGAGGGCGGTGGAGGCTCTGGGGGGGGGTCTCCACACCCCGGGGTCCTGCAGGCTCTCCCTCCCGGCTTCCTCTCCCTTCCTGTCCCCTGTCCCCCCCCCGAGGCTGCACCAGGAGCCGCCAGCCGCCAGCCGGTACTCACATTTCTTGCAGCAGCCATTGGGCATGACAGTGATGGTGCCCTGGAGGGAAGGAGAAGTGTCTGGGACTCCCGGCCCATCCCCCAGCGATGAGCAACCCCCTCCTGCCACGGGGTGGGAAGGGGCAGGTCCCGAAGGAAGGGCTCAAGCCAGAGACCCCTGGCCCAGAACTGGGGACCCGCTTACCGGGATGCAGATGCTGGGGTCAAAGTCGGGGCAGGTGATGTTGGAGACAGAAGAAATGAGCTGGTTTTGAAGTTTCATGCAGCTGAAGAAGGTGCAGTTATTCTTGGGGTCATGCTTTATGTCCCCGGGCTGCAGGGCACAGGACAGTCTGGTGAGACCCACCCAGGAAGACAGCCACCCGGCCACGTGCACGGGAGGTCCAGCCTGCAGCCCCAGAGCCACCAGCCTGCAGGCCACAGACACGTCCACGCCCTGACCCCCCGACACTTGCAGATCTCGGGATGAGACCAGCCTGGATTACACGGTGGTGCCAAATCCGGTGATACATGTACTTAGAAGAGGGGCCACAGGAAGGTGAGCCAGAGACTGGGGGCCGCAGCCACAAGCCCAGGGCCGCCCTGAGCCCCAGCAGCTGAAGAAGCAGGAAGGCCTGTCTCCCAGACCCTTCGAAGGGAGCTCAGCCCTGCGACACCCGGATCTCGACTCGGCTCCAGACGGAACCAGTCACTGCTGGTGTCTCCAGCCCTAGTCTGTGGTCATGGCCACCCCAGGACACCGGTGCAGCCATGCCCGGCCCTGGGGAGACCCAGCTGGGGGCAGCGGGAGGTGGCGGTATGTGAACAGGCCCCTCACTCACCTTTAGGATGATGGGTTCCCTGTGGGGCCTGTTGATGATGCAGTGGGTCTGCTCGCACTTCTTACAGCACTCGCCCGGGGCCTCGGCCAGCTCAAAGCCCTGAGGTGCACACGCGGGTTGGTGCGGGAGGTGGGGGCAGGAGAAGCGGGGTGGTGCGCGCTCTGGGCAGGTGGGGGCGGGGCGGACGCGGGGGGCCTGTGCTCTGGGGAGGTGGGGGCGGGGCGGACGCGGGGGGCGGGGCCGGGGCGGGGGCGGGGCTTACAGGGCTGCAGGAGTTGTTACAGAGCACGTGGCTGCAGGAGATGACGTTGAGCTGCGTGCTGTTGTTCATGTTCTCGGTGCACACACAGTCTTGGCACTTGGAGGAGTAAACTGGCGACCCCGGCTGAGGGCACAGAGAGGGGCAGGTGAGGTGGGGCTGCCGCCCACCGCGGAGGCTCTGGAGCGGGCACCCTCCCCGGCACCCTGCCCGGGCTCACCTGGTACTCGGCATTCTTGTGAACGCACACGCCCTTGGGCACTGGGAGGAAGAGAATGGGACGTGGGTCAGGCTGGACGGCGTGGACACCTGGGCCCAGGGTGAGTGTGGCCGCCCTGTGGGGTGACCCCATGGGGGGTTCTCAGCCCCGCCTCCAGGCCCCACTAACCGCAGGTGTAGGTGGGACAGCACTTCCCGGGTCTGATCTCGCTCTTCACTTCAAATCCCAGTGAGCACTTGGGCGGCTTCACCTGGCACAGGCTGGTATTGCACTCTGGTGGGGGGAGACGCAGGGAAGGGAAGGGCCTGCGGGCACCCGCCTGCTCCAACACCCATGCTCAGGCGGACGCGCCCTGAAGGCCCCCAGCTCAGCAAGGAGGTGAAAACACCTTCGGGGGCTGCCGGGTGACTCCTGGGCCCCTGTCCCCAGCCCCGCCCCCTCCCCGGGGGGCCTTACTGCAGGATGTGATGTTGCAGCAGGTGTCTGTGGGGTTGACCTCCGTGACGGGATAGGTGCCATCCTCCGTGCACGAGAGCGGCTCCTGGCTGCAAATCTTGGGCTTGCAGACAATGCTGCTCCCGCCCTCCAGGCAGACACAGTTCTTGCAGTCGAACTCAAAGTGCTCCCCAAACTGCATACAGGAAGTACGTGGGCAGGGGAATCACGGTGCCACATGCGTGAGGCAGGCTGGCGCTGGAGACCCCCTGCCAGGGCCACGCCGCGGCACATCCACAGTCGGCCGGAAGGTCCCCGGAAACCTGTGCCCACCCCCCCCACCTCCCAGCACACGGGGCTGGCTCACTCAGTGCCTCGGCAGATCTGGCACACGGCAATCGCACCACACATGTGTATGGGGCTCCCAGACTAGAGCTAAGGTATCAACCACATGTAGGAGACAGGACAACATTGCCGGCCAGGATGTCATCTCAGGTTTAGACAGAGCTTCAGATGGCCCAAGGGTGGGTGGCATGAAGGTGCAGATGGACACATGGGCCAGCGAGTGGGTGGATGGATGCATGGGCGGGTGGAAGGAGGGAGGGAGATGGATGGGTGGGTAAGTGAATGCGCGTGGGTGCAGAGAGACCCCTGCTGGCTCAGCCTTCTGGGATGTAAATGACATGACTCAGGGTTTAGGAGACTCCCAGCTGCTTCTGTGCAACCCACCCTGGCCCCCCAAATTCCAGGCTTGTGGGTGAATCCCTCCCCGGCACCAAGAAGAAGGGCCCACCTTTCTCGGCACGTTGTCAGGTCCCACACAGCCTAGGGAGGGAGAGGAAACAAATCATGTCAGCGGAGTCCCAGTGCCGTGGGGCTGGGGCGGGCTTCGCGGAGGCAGTGTGGGCGGGCAGCATACCACAAAAGTCCATGCAGACATCGAATCCTGGGGCGTAGTTCATGGTGCCCTCAGGACAGAAGCAGCCTTCCACCAGGGTGATGTTCTTCTCTGGGGGTCTGGGGGTGAGAAGGCATGGTGAGATGGGCCTGTGCTCAGGCTGGAGAGCAGGTACGCTGGACCCCAAGGCCCGCCACCCCTGCGCGTATTCCGGCAACCAACCTAGACTTGCAGGTGGGCTCCTCTGAAGGGCCACAGGCCCGATACTCCCTGTGAGGCGGGCACGTCACCGCTGCAGGAAGGAACAACGATCAGAGGAGCCGGAGCGAAGGAGGAGCCTGGCGAGTGACATTCCTGCCCAGCCCCCGCTGAGCAGCTGCTCGGTGCTGCCCAGCTCCCCCCACCCCGCCCCAGCCGTCCTGAGAGCCCAGGCCCCCAGCCCCCCAAGCCTGCCCTTCTTCCCACCCCACAGCCCAGCCCAGCTCTCCCTGTAGCCAGGCCCTCCCTCCCCCAGCAGAGCCCAGAGACCCCATCCGGCCCACGGGACCACAGGTCGGGGGCAGGGGCAGGCAGGCACGCACAGCAGACCCCATTGGTGCGGTTCCGCCAGTCGATACAGAACCCCTCCTGGGCACAGATGGTTGCATAGATCTGCAGGCTGGCACACTCCAGCCCCGAGCCGGGTACGAAGCAGCTGTCGAACATGCAGGCGTCGTAGTAGTGCTGGGGGGGTACCACCTTGTGGCACGGGGCAAACAGGCTGTGAGGGAGGACGCGGGGGTCAGGCTCCGGCCGGCCCTCCCCACCTCCCCCATGCTCCCCACCAGCCCAGCACCTCCACCCGGCCGCCCTCCTGGGGCCCGGCTCAGCCTGCATCCCACTGAACAGGTGCCTGTGGGCCGTCCGAGGAGGCCGGAGAGCAAAGGGCCGCCTTGGGGAAGGGGTGGCCGGCTCTGCGGCCCGAGGGCACCCGGAGGTGGAGGCTGCTGGCTGCCGGGACCCCCTCCAGCGGCCTCAGCCCGCACACCTCTGGGAACCAGGCACTGGCTCCCCATGGATGTCATCTCCTCCCTGTCTCGGCCCAGGTCTGCCTGCCTGACATCAGCCTTGAATGCCAGCTCGGTCCCAGCTCAGCTGTCCTCCCTAAGGCCCCCAGCATGGCCGACCTCGCCAGGGCACAGGGACGTGTGACAACAGGAGCCCCAGCCCCGGGCCCTCCGAGACCCAGCACCTGCTCGTGGCGCCCTGACCTCGCTCTGACACCCCAGACATGCTCAGCGTCCGGCCTCTTTGCAGAGTGAGGGTGAGGCACGGAGGGAGGCCGCTCCCTGAGCCCCTGCCCCTCACGGGTGACGGGCAGTGGCCAGGCCGGGGGTACCTGTCTTTGATGAGCTCGCAGAGAGGAGAAGCACAGTCCTTGTGTGTGGGGCGGCCCACTGACGGTGTGCTGGCCGGGGCCTTGGTGGGGACGGCGGTGTGGGGACAGTGCGGCTTGGAGGGGTCGTTCACCAACCACTGGTCGGCTGAGACCTCGCAGTTGGAAATGACCTCCCCGCTGGGCAGCATGCAGTCGTCGGCGGTGGTGTTGGTACATGTGCCTGCGTCGGTGAGGAGGCCCACGCTGAACCGGCCCAGACCACCCACGCCGAGCAGCACACGGCCCCTGGGCCGGCCCCGCCACCCCGGCGACCATCAGGCCGGGGTCCAGGGCACAAACTAGACAAGACTCCTGCCGGCTCGTTCCCACGGGGGCCGATCCCGGCCTGGCGGTCACGGAGCCCGGAGCGGAGGAGCCAGGGAGCCAGCACGCTGCCGGCTGGTGTTTACCGCAGGCCAACCCCAGCCACGCCCCCCACCCCCCGCCCCCCGGGATGGGCCCAGCAGCCGCAGGGAGCCCTGGGGGCTGAGGGGCTCACCACACTGGCCCTTGGTGTTGTTGCCAAACAGGCGGTACGGCAGCCTGATGGAGAAGGAGAGGCCGTTGTAGGAGACGACGGCGCCCAGCTTGGGGAGCTCCACCACGTAGTTGATGCCCGACGGGGCCACCCGCAGCCCCTCCTTGTCGTAGGGCAGCGCCACGGCCTTCCCGTTGACCTGCACCTGCGGCCAGCACAGCTGCGGTCAGGAGCGCCCCCGGGGCAGGCGTGCAGGGCCCTCCCCTGCGGCCCTGCCCTGGCTGCCCCGACCCCTCGCAGGGGCGAGCTGGGGCGAGCTGCACCTCGAGAGCGCCTGGAGTCACCCCAGCCCCACCCGTTCTCAGGCCTGTGCGTCCAGTGTGGGGACCTCTGCCTGTCCCCCGCCCCCCGACCCGCTGCCCCTTCCCGGGTCCCTTTCCCACTTCCCTTCCACTGCCTTGGGCCAGACCGGTCCCTGCGGGTCCCGGGGGTGAGATCGTGAGGACGCGGTCCCGAGAGCCCCCCCGAGCTGAGGGTGAGGCCCCCTGGGCCACAGGATCCAGCAGCTCCATTCGCGTGTGTGCACAGGCCCCTGCACGGGGGCTTCTGCCACAGCAGACTGCAACCAGGGCGCGCGGGGGGTCACAGTCCCTGAGGGCTTGCGAGGGCAGCCCCGCCCTGTGGAGCGACGGCCCTGGCACCCCCCGCACCCCGTGTGGGTGTCCCTGACCTCTCCAGCGCACCTGCACATTAATGGGTAGCATCCGCATCATCTTGATCAGCACCTCCCGAGCCTCATAGCGCACGATGAGTGTGCGGGGGCAGGACACCCGGTCGTTGGCGTCACAGTGGTAGTTGTCGATGTAGACCCCGAAGCCGTGCCCCGAGGGCACGATCTCCTCCACCAGCACGTATGTGCAGTTGCCCTGGTAGCTGTAGTAAAGCCCGTCGAAGGTGACGTAGTGCGGGTCCCCCCAGCCTGTGCAGTAGCCTGTGGACGGAGCCCCGGGTGTGAGCCAACCAAGCCCCAGGCCGGAGGGGCGGGGACAGCGGCCACCGGGAGCCCGGGAACAGTAGGAAGAGCAATCAGGAGTCCGGGGGGCCCCAAAACCCACGTCCTGGAGCACGAGGGGCGTCCAAGCCCGTTCTGCGGGGCAGAGCCTGGCTCTGGGTTCGAAGTTCAGCTCTGCGCCTCCCACCCAGGGGGAGCAACCGCGCTCATGGAGGTGACTCCGGGGCACACCCCTCCCCTGCCCAGACCCCCTGCCCGAGATGGGGAAGAGGCAGGAGGCGTGAGCAGAGCCTGCGGGCCTGCCGCCCCACACCCGCAGAGGGGGGAAACTGGGGAGGGTCCTGCGGCGTTGGGGGTCTTACAGTCACACTCCCAGTGCCAGCAGCAGCCATCAGGGTCCGGGACTTGCACGGGCTGGAGGCCGTTGGAGCAGGTGGGTTTGGGCGGGGGCTCGCACTTCATCTCCACTAGCTCCACCGTGTTGTCGTACTTGCAGATGGCCATGGTGCAGTTGCACAGCCACCACGTCTCATTCTCCTGAAGCGGGGAGGGCACAGGGTGAGCGGGGACCGGCCTAGACCCCCAGCCTGCAGCGGCATGGGCCCAAGCCCTCCCCTGAGCCTGGGGACCAGGGCGCCCGGGGCCGGAGGCAGCTGCGGGAGCCTCAGCACTAGCCAAGCCCCCTCGCTGTGGCAGGGAGGCGTGGCCGAGCAGGGAGGCGCCCACAGACCCGCACTCGCAAGACTGCTAGGAGGACAGGGGCATGGCGGGTGACCAGCAGACGCCCCGTCCTCCAAGGTGGGCGCGTGTGCTCAGTGCCAAGGGGACCAGAAGCAGCCGCGGCCCCACTGACCTGTCTGGGAGGATGAAAGTTGGGGCACCCGGGGGGCTTGCTGGTGGCCAGTGTGCTGGATGTTGTGGGCGTGGGTGGTTTGGATGTTGAGGTCGGCGTCGGCGTGGAGGGGGTGGGCGTTGGGGATGGCGTGGACGGGCACGACCAGTTGAAGATCTCAATGGTGCAGGTCAGCGAGCAGTTTGCGTAATAGCAGGTGTCCCCATGCGTGCCGTTATACACCATCTCACCTGCCAGGGGACAGAAACCAGTCTCACGACAGCCACACAGGCCTCCCGAGCATACAGGCAGGTCCCCACGAGGCGCCCCCTTCCCTGACTCGTGGCTACAGCAAAGTGGGGCTGACCGCAGGGACAGCTTCCCGAGCCAGTTCCTGTTTGGAACTTCAGCCCGACCCCTCCCCGCTGGTGAAAGCCGACCAGAGCCCACCTGCCTCTGCTGCCCAATAGTCAGAAGTGAAAAGCCTGGGTACCTGGAGCGAAGTATGTGTCATTCAACACACAGCAGTATATCTGGGTGGAGGAGGTGACAGAGATTGTACTTTGAAAGATGCTGGGGGAAGAGATTGGGGTCACTGTGGAGGTGGGCACACTTGAGGTTGTGGCACTGGTGGTCTGTGGTATGTGTGGCGTGGTCGAGGGGCGTCCTGGTGGTGTGGGCGTTCCTGTGGAAGTTGTTGATGCAGTTGTGGTGGTGGTGGAAGCGGGGCTCGGTGGCACCGTGCTGGTGGTGGTGGAGGTTGGAGTCGGTGGCACCGTGCTGGTGGTGGTGGTGGAGACGGGGCTCGGTGGCACCGTGCTGGTGGTGGTGGTGGAAGTTGGAGTCGGTGTCTCCGTGCTAGTGGTGGTGGAGACGGGGCTCGGTGGCACCGTGCTGGTGGTGGTGGTGATGGGGCTTGGTGGCACCGTGCTGGTGGTGGTGGTGGTTGGAGTCGGTGTCTCTGTGCTGGTGGTGGTGGAGACGGGGATCGGTGGCACCGTGCTGCTGGTGGTGGTGGTTGGAG